TGTTGCAATATTTTTTCCACATTCCAGAGATGTTAGTTGATCCACAACCACACTTCATATTTCACAGATGTTAAARATGTTTTCACCACTTCCTTCATAGCCAAGTAGATTTGCAACATTCAATAAATTTGCATGTGCAGCAGAAACACATTTTGTATGACAAAACAGTTTTGTTCAGCAGTTCTTCCCAAACCTACCTTGTACCATTAGTTTAGAATCTGAGAGAAACAGGAAGMATTTTTTTCTTTACCTTGCTGTACGTGATGCTGTCAAACAGAGACATTAATGATCCTTTGAYCTTGTCTTCACTCTCTGACAGTGATCGAGCTTTTTCAGTGTCTTCCTTTAAGACAGGTTGTACAAAATGAGCATAAAAGATTTTATCCTGCAAGAGAAAGACAAATCTAAATGAGCTGAACAGAAGGTACTAATTCTCTGGAGAGAATGAGAACTATGGAATTAGCACTATTATGAATCATATGTCTATAAGCAAACTCCCCCAACTCCCTAACTTTCCCATGAAGTACAAGGGGCCATATATCAGATCCTGATATGTTCCAAATGCAGTGTCAGTGACCTGTGAAAATTTTACATCTCYAAGGTACTGTGGGCTTGGGCCTGATGAAGTCAGTTACAGTGTAATCCTCAGGCAAAAATAAATCAACYACATTAAACAGCAAATGAACAAATACTGAAAACTGAAAGCCTGTATCTCATTTACTTGTGTTGTGAATGTGTCCGCATTTTCCTCCTAAATTCCCTGTTTCTTCTGTTGCAACCCTGAGCAATAACCTAAAACCTAAATGCTGAAGGTACCAAGGTTTAGCTCTGAGGCACTTCTGCTGTCAGTCAGTGAGAAATATGGAGGGAAAATGACTCCTCAGAAGTAAACGTCACCTACCATGGTCAACAGCTCAGAGGAGGGACTGAGCACCTCTTCTGTAAGAATAGGCTAAAGAGAGCTGGAACTGCTCAGCCTGGGAAGAGAGGGCTCAGAGGGAGCTCATCCGTGTATCCACCTGAAGGAAGGCTGAGCAAAGGACAAAGCCAGCTTTTCCAGTGGTGCCCAGTGACAGGACTGGAGGCAATGGGCACACASTGAAACACAGGARTTCTCTCTGAACACCAGARAACACATCTTCACTGTGAAGGTGACTAAGCATTTGCACAGATTGCCGTCAGAAGTTCTGGAGCCTCCATCCCTAGAGATGTTCAAAAGCTGTCCTGGGCAATTGGCTCTTGTGTGGCCCTGCTTGTGCAGGGAGGTTGGACAAGATGACCTCCAAATGTCTCCTCTAACCTCAGCCATCCTGTGACTCTGTGAACGTTTATGACTCACAAATCTGTGCAAGAAAGACCTATATTCTCACATCTGTGTGAGTTATTCTGCATTCCCCAAGGCGCATTACCTAACTGCAATTTATCAAATAGAATTATTGCCCAATATTAAGATTTACTTTATGGATATAAGTGACAGATGCCGATTTTTAGAAAAACAAACTTCTAAATTAAAAGTTTAAAAACAAAAATAAGTCAAAAATTTATTTCCAATTTAAACTTTGGAGGCCTTTACACTTTCCAGTGATTTTCAGACACTGCATTACAGACAATAAACTGAGCTGTTGTTGAAGTTCATAGCAGAAGGTAAGCATATCCCATGACCTAGAAATCATTCCAACAGAACTTGTTTGGTGTATCTTTATTAGTTTTCAATCAAGCATGTAATTAAGTGCTTTGGTGAATGAGAATAGGTAATCGACAAATGGTATTTCAATTTAGCCAAATAAAATGCACACTGGATTAACTGCAGTCACAGACCTGGCCAGACTAAAGGYTTTTCCTTCCTTCAGAAGTTGATGGCACCACGTACAGACATTTAGGATTGCATGGGCAAGTGCACCTCATCTCATGGCTGCAATTAGCAGCTCCTATCCATCTGTCTCTGAGTTTAACAAGAGATGGGCTCTTCTGATATCCTATGGGATTTATGCTTATTCCCATTCGGGCAGAATGGGAAGGAATTTTACCCTGCTGTTGTATTAGCTATGTGCATTTTATTTGTCTTATCTACAACCAGACATCCAGGGACCCAGTGGGGTAAGCAGACTCAAAACAACCCAACTTAATCTCTGCCTGGCAAAGATACCTGTGGAATGCAATAATTAGAAAAGAGCTTGGCAGGCAAGGAGGAAAACCATCAGCTACAACAGGACCCAGGAGAGAAATCTGGGTTTGCTGCAGGACAGACCTAGGCCCAAACACCAACTCTTTGCCACTGCAGAATCACAGCTGTCCAGCTGTTCTCTGCACCAGCTGTAGAGAGCTGGATGTGATCATAGCTCCCCCCGCCCCCTCCAGATGGAGACCTACAAGAAAATAATCAAGACCTACCATCTTTCTCACAGTAGTGAAGTTCATAATGGCACTGTTTAATTAAATCCATTTCCTGCACCTTCCTTTCATTTGTTCATGATGGAACTTTGCTAGTAAGCATAAGTACTTACCAGTGAAAGATTGGGCTCAACAAAGGTAGCTCCCAGCAACTCAAAGTAAGATGTGAGGCCCTCATTAAGCCACAGATCATTCCACCAGTTCATTGTAACCAGGTTTCCAAACCACTTTAATAGAAAGAAAAAATTTCTCAAAATCACCTTGGACTGCTCTTTCCCCTTTTTTGCACGTTAAACACACATACATAGGCTAAAGTAATTTTATTTAATATCCAAGTGTAAATTGAATAAAATGATGAATATTCCTGCATATATATGATAGTGAAAATTCAGTAGAAAAATATGTGCTTTAGAAAAAGTCTGTTTCAGGGCAGTTATTTTTAAATTGCTTCATCTCCAATTTCATACCATGAATGTCAATCTCAGTGCATKATGTCATTCTTTTATAATATTTAATTTTAAACACTTCTCATTATAAGTTAAATATCTAAAATATCCTATCAGGCTATGATTTAAAGTAGGACATTTATCAAACAATTACAAAATTAACTTTCCATGTTCTTAACAAAGTGAAATTGTCAGAGGAATGATACACAAAACCGAGGAACCATTTCCAAAACTAACAAATCCCTTTCCTGGTAAGTACAAAACATCCAAAACAGCTGCTGTGCACCCCTATCTGGCAGTTAATACTTAACAATAAATGATCACTTCTGGATTTATATTTTATTTGATAATTCTTATAAACCTGAACTACAACTTTATTGTAAAATATAGTTWAGTTAAGCACTGACATTTATTTCATTGGCCTGCAGTAAAAACACTGCACTCATCTGAAGGTCTGGGAAGTTACAGACCTTGTCAGAAAGGCATAAATGTGTACCAGCCAAGATAGGCTTCTTTGTTAATTTTACTGACTAAGTGCAAATAGTTGTTGCTCTGGCAAATAACAGGAAATTAAACATTGTCAATAAGGAAGTGAAACTGCATTGTCATTCCAAATCAAGTAAGAAAGAATTCAGAAAGCTCTATGAAAGCTGGGAAAAGATCCAGTTACAGTGCAAAGTGTGTTCACGTTAATTTTGTTAATTCTGTTGTACTACGGGCTGTGTCCTACAGAAAAACAATACCTTTTGCAATATGTCCGTGCACTGCCACTATAGAAGAATACTGATGAAATCTATTAAGTCTCCTAACAAAGTTCCGAGTTTACTGTACAGAGAGAGTACTGCCATCCCTATGTCCCTAGAGCATCCCCTAGCATGGCAATCAAGTAATRTGTAAGAAATAAAACTAACGATGCCATTAACAGTTTTGTATCAATGAGTTCAGTACAATCACTATGCAGTCTGTAACATGACAGAACCTAATTTCAGTATTACTTTATCGGCAGAGCCTATGTTCAAACAGGCTTTCAGTGCTCTAGTGCTCACACTCCCTTCTGTCAAGTAGTTCTTTTGATTCTACTAATCACTAACTGCATCATCAGCAATCGYAAGGAAACAATGTCATAGGCAAATAAATGAACAGAATTTTTTACCACATGCCTGGTGTCCTATCTCATGTGACACAACTAAAGCGACCACTGCCTTCGTGCCTGTGAATTCATCACTTGGGAGGCTCATCAATGCTGCTTCTTGGAAAACCATTAGCCCCCAGTTTTCCATACCACCTGCTTCAAAATCAGGCAGTGCAACCAGATCTAAATTGATTCAAAAAAAAAAAAAAAAAAATCTTTAACATTTTCATAAATAAAACGTTCACATGATTTTAGTGCTCACACTGGCTCAGTGGCCCATTCAAGGACACACTGTAATGGTTCTTTGTGGTATCACAGTAACACTTCCAAATGGTCACTGAAATTTCTTCTTGTCATGCTTTTCATCTATGATGCCATTCCTTCAGGAAGCCCCATAATAAATTCCCACGAAGCCCAGATCTGTACTGTATCTTCTACGTACAAGTGTTTTGAATGAAAATGAAGGTTAAAAGAGAATACATTCACTAATGGCTGTCAGAAATCTTTCCTAGTGAGTTTCTCCTGTATTTGGGTAACATAATACTTACCTTTTTCTTCAGCCTAGTCACTGTTAGAAAAGAATTCTTGCTCTTTTAGCTGTGTGAGTAGAGACACCTGTTCCACTCTTATTTGAAGGGCACCTTAGAAGCATCGTCTCTTTATTTACACAATAAGACTGTCACCTCTCTACTGCCCTTCTGCCTTATTCTGCACAGAGATCAGTTTTCMGTTCAAATCTGAGAGCTGGACAAGATACAAGGATCTCATAGAAAGATACACTGTTTAAAGTCAGCAGCAAAGATCAAAATTTGGAAAAGGTATGCAGAAGGTTTATAGGTAGACACAAGCTTGTATCCCAGAGCAGCTGACCACAAGAAAGCTGCAGTCCAGAAGCCAGGCAATCAATGCAAACATGGTGCTGAGCCCCAGCAAAAGCAGGCTGCATCTCAGATGGGATTATTGCCTCGAGCTTAACAGAAAAGGTATTTCACTTTTGGTGAGCAGCCCTTATCCAACAATCTTGGGGCAAGACAGCTTGCTTATRACTGCATTAAAATCAGGTACAGACAAAACCTTAAAGACCACGGGTTTAATTAAATGTGTTTGTTCTTAATTTCGCATTTCGAGTTTGCAACAGAAATYGCTAGCATTTACCAGGATGCACTTGCTTGGTCTAGTCTTACTATTTTTAAGCAAAACTTCACAGAAAGACACGGGGAAATCCAGTATATTGCATGGTATTACAGTGGGGATTGTAATGGTATTACAGCCCTCTCTGAAACCAAAATTCTACCCAGCAGGAAGTTTGCAATACTGCTCCTCCATTTCAGCTGCATAATAGGTTTTTATTTAATGAATTAATGTATTGACATTGCTGCTAAACAGAAGAACATAAGCATGAAACAGAATAATGCACAGCCCTTGACTAGCTTGTAAGATTACTAAAAGAAGAAWATGTAAAGAGTAAAGACTGCATATATTAAGTTTTCTAAAAGAAGTGTAGTGAGTAATTCTGCAAGTTATTAGAAAAATATACTGGGCAATAATAAATTTACACAAATTAACTTTTATTTCTTTCAAGTGCCAAAATTCAGATTTGAGAAATCAACAAACTATCCAGTCAAGAAAAGAGGGAAATTCTTTCCCCTCACTCCTACAATCTGCTAAAATCATTGGCAGGTTCAAAATCCATTTAAAAAAAGAACTCCTTCTGTCTTCTCAATATTCTACCCATTTTCCCATCGTATTCATGCTGAAACCCTAGGGAATCCAAGTACAAGCAGCAAACTGTACAATGAATTACATGGTGGGATCCTATTTTTTGACTGAAGCTAGAGTGAACCAACTTACCTGATGTCCATTCCAAATAGAAATGTTTTCCTGCAGGGGAATTCTCCCTGTTTTTCTGGGGAGGAAAGCACAGGAACATACACCAAACTCACAGGGAAGGCAGGAATGTACTGAAGAAAGCAAGGAATGCTTTTGGTGGGACACAGGCTACTAGCATCATGGATTTACCAGGAGGACACAACATCCTTGCATATTATGATCTATGGATCCCAGAAACAACCACGTGACWGAACTACTCCTTTCTATCCACTTTGTTGACCCATCTGCTCCTTTATTAAGAAAATATTCTTTAAAAGAATGAGTGGAATGCAAAGGTAGGAGTGCTGCATTACAGGTGAATAAAAGCCATGTCACAGAAAAGATAATTGAGTGATTTTAAGTTTAGGGGGTTTATTCCATAAGTATTGTAAGCTGTAAAAGGAGAATACTGCAAAGGAACACATTGCTTCTGTGAATGTTGTACCATTAGCAGAAATTTTTGATCCATTTCAGAAAATTAATCATCTCACCTGTCTTTGGCAGAGGGTAGCTGACATTAAGTACATCCTCCAGAAATGAAAATATTGGGCCCGTGATATTTAAAGCATATTCAACATACCCATTTTTAACTGCCTCTTTCCGAGCCCAAATACGTATCTGCAATAAAACAAAGAAGAGTTATCTTAAACAACCCTCACATTTTCATTTCCTTTTCTTCTATTCTGTGAATCATTGCTGGAAAAAAGCTGTCTGTCCAAACCAGACTAAGCAATGAAGCTTTTAGTTTTAAAAAAACCCAACTTGTGTTTTGCTGGACTTAACAAARTGCAGCAGAGACCCCGATCCTGCTAAAATCTAGGAAGGTTCCAGTACTTCAAACGGGCAAAGATTTGAACACAAATATACATTGTAGAAACAAATGAACTATTAGCTTTTATTTTCTTAAATGGCAAATGCTCTCAAACTACTTAGAATTACCCGTCTTAAACCAATGTATTCCAGTGACTGTGTCTAGGTGGCAAGCTTTCCTTTAGCCCACCTGAAGAGGGAGAAAATGGATGTTCAGAGAGCGTTTGCAGTCCCAACACACACATCTCTCTTCCTGAACTTTCTCACAGACCGTCAGCCTCCTCTTTGCTGGAGAAAGCAGATGAAATCTGAACAGATGACATCCATATCTCTGAGAAATGAAGACCACCGTAGCAAGAACTTATTCCCCTCCTGTGCCCATTTGCTTTGTCATGATAGACAAAAAGGCGGCTGCTTGCCCAAAAGTGATGGAGTAGCCTGAGAAAAGGTCTGTCTCCATCATCTATCTCTGAACAAGAGACCCTCCAGCAGTGCCCAGCAGCTCAAAACCTTCACATTTCTCACATCTAAATGCAATGCATGATCTCACAAGAAGCTGCACAGCCAAACCCCAAGAGCACAGCTRAGAAGCATCAATATTTAATGGAAAAAAAAAATTAAGCATATTCAGTCAACAGAGTATCCTTAAATCTCTGAGGCCCTCTTTTCAGCCAAGGCTTCAGAGGAGAATCAAAGACCAGATCATTTCATTTTCCAAACACAACTAGCATCTTAAAATCCTAATCCTAATATAAGTTTTAGTGTTTCAGGCTGTAAATTATTTACCAGAAACATCAAAATAGGCACAATAAACATGGTCTCACAAACACTGTGAAGGCATAAACTGAGCATCTCTGTCCAAAACCAACAGGTGAAATATCCTTTCTACTCAATCTCACAGAACACAGGTGGTGCCTTTTCTCTCTGAAAAACAGCTCATTTGAATGCTCTGCTCTACYGTGTCCTGTCAGTCAAGAACAAGACCCAGGAAAAAGGCACCACAGTCACAGCTGTGAGTATCCAACAAGTWGAACACAGAAAGTGGAGGTGTGACACACCAAATTCAGCCTTCCCTTTACAAAAGAGCCGATACTGCTCTTCCTAGATGACCTCTGCATTGTTCTCTTACATTATCTCACCTTTCCAGTAGGATGAGAGTGAGCGAACCATGAAGTGCTCTCATTTAATAAAGAGAAAAAGTAAAGGCTACTTTTAACAGCTTTATGCTGGAACTTACTATTTATTTAGGACAAACTTGATACATCTTTTTCTGTAGACTTTGAGCAAAGGAAACAAAGTGAASCAACTGCTGCCAATGCAGTACGTGTTCTTACAACTTCTCTCAACAAGCTTTGGCCATTTTAGCCTAGCTGCAAAACTGAATACTCACAGTTTTAGATATTTCATACACAGGACTGTCACTTTTGGAGGCTAAAAAATGTGAACACTGTGGAATAGAAGATTAATATACTAATATACAAAATATTTGGGGCACTCCCACTGATATCACAATGCTGCTCCTCAAAGGACCTTGAGGAACAAGTCACTGAACATCAGTGGTTTGTCACAGCAGTAGAAATTAGTCTCTTTTCCAACTAAGACACCTAAGGAAGTAAGAACACCCTGAATTATAACCAGTACTTTCTGCAGTGTAGCTGCTCCTAAATTTTAACCTACAAAGTCCATACCTACCAATGCAGTTGTATGAGATGAATAGGACGAGACAATAAACTAATTGTCCCAAAGGAAAGCTGTCTGCAGAAATATCTACAAATGTTAGCAGTGTTACCACATAAGCAGATAGTTTGGAATGGAAAGCACAGTAAAGGTCTGTGATAATCTTAAAGATACATGATGCACCACAGGACTAACTTGTGTTGTAAACTCCTATAATGTGTTATGCAGCCTCATATCTACCTCATTTCCCCGCTCGGTTCTGGTGACATGATCAAAATCACAAATCACAAAAGCAGTCAAGTAAGTTGACATTTTCAGTGAAGTGTTAAAAGTGGTAACTCTCCACAGGCTTCCATTTTCATCTTTCACTTCAGATACATCTAGAAAAAAAGTCAAAGAAATATTCAAACCAAAGTTCTTCCATAATAAACGAAGAATTTTGTGTTTTCTGAATGTCTTTTTTACCCCTTTCTTCAATATGATGTATTCGTGCACTAACTCATATGTTTTGAGTAGAAGGAGCGCAGCCAGACTTGCTGCTACTGACAATTATCAGAATTGTGACCTTCCATGCAAACAGCAAAAATCCACTCTTGAGATTCTAAACTAAAGTCTTGGATCAATATCAATATCAGTATCAATATCAAACTCCATCAGTTTTAATATGTGAGCAAACTGAGGACAATTTATCCTATGCTACCCGTCTAAAACATACCACTTGTTATGATCCAAATATTGGTCATGACTGCCTAAGAATTATTAATTACATAACAGGTAACTTCCTTTTAAGTAAGGAGGACACAGGMAAGATTCTTTGGGGTAGAAAACGCTTCCAGTGATTCTCACTGAGATCCCATCAATTAAAATTAAAGGAATCCCGATGCCAAAAATAATACTTTTCCATTCTTGGAACTGCCATTTTGCTTTAAAGGTATGTCACATAGTAAGACAGACACACTAACTAAGCAGTAAATACCAGAAATCAAACCCTCTGCAGCTTTCAGCAGACAGAGGAGAGCACATCACAAGTAATAAAACTGTTTGATAGAATGATTGCCATCAGAGACATGAATTATGAGTAACAGAGTCATTAATTATTTTAACAGAGTTAAAACTTTAAGTTCAGAGACACAGATTTTCTGTGCCTTTTGAAGGCATTAGCAAATGGACAACRGAAAGCTGCTTCTTTGGATGACATAATCTCAGATGAATGGCACCCTTTGTAAAAGTAATTTCGGTGGGAAAAAAAAACCATACATCAGTTTGTTGTTTACCTACCAATTGCAGGCATGTTGGAAAGAGCCACATAGCTTGGGTCATGGACAATTCTGATATTAAATGTGGCCTTCATGGCAGGTTCATCAAAACATGGGTAAACTGTCCTGGCATATGTTGGTTCCATTTGGGAGGCAATGAGCATTCTGTGTTAAAAATGCAAATAAGATTAATCCAGCAGGCTACAGCTGATCAAAATCCATATACAACACAGAGACAACAAATTAGAAAAAGCCAGAGATGAATAATGTAGATATGCAGATTTGGAAAAGATTTGGCTATTATTTCATGTCATGACTAAATCCCCATACCCAACTGAAAGTTCAGTTTGGATATTTGTAGATAAAAGCAGTCTTTTTTTAATTACAACTGGGTTTTTTTTTTCATCACAGGCGTTTTGTAGATACTCTATTTTTAAATATTTGAGTATTTCTACTCTGTTTACTAGAACAGAGTTGATTAAAGTTTTGCATACAGCAGACAATGTCTCTTTACGCCTGTTCTTCTCCCTAATGCATGCACTTCCATTAAATAATTAATTATACATTTTAATTAAAAAATGTAATAACTGTTAACTAACTGAATATTCCTGCAAATACAGCACCAGGGCTGTCCCAGCGCACTGGTAAACCCAGAATAATATTCAAARGGATCCTTTATGCCAAAGAGGTTTGCCCCACTTGTGGCACACTGTAACACTCRTCCTGTTTGAGCTAAGTGAGCTCTGCTCCAGTCAGATGCTCAGCAAGCAGGTCCAGTCAAGGTTAATCCTGCTCTGTGAGGCTGTCAGGGAGAATTTAGCAGCAAACCAAAGCCCCAGGTTTGGCTGGAGACTGGACTGGAGAGTGGCAGGAACGGCATTAATAGCAGAAAAACTGACTGCAAATGAACCACTTTACACAGTCATATCTGCAGCTATCACTCTGTTGAGCTCTCTCCACAGCACCTGGCTGCAGSGCAGTGATCTCCTGTACACCTCTCAAGGTTGCCCTCGAGGCTGTAAGACSCCTTACCCAGCACCAGATGTGGATGAGCTTGTGAAATTTTTCACGTGCATGCAACATTTAAGATTTTTTATAGAAAASTTGCTCAATAATCTTTGACTCCCATACTAAATTTAAGTGTAGAGAATTGACCACTAATCCATGTATGCTTATTAAATATKAAAATAATTATTTATACTGAATACTCACTAACTGTTAAATATTAAAACCTAAATTTACTGTTGGAGTGATCTCTGACTCTTCTCCTGCAACACACACTCACTGGAAGCAAAAGATGAATCACTGTGTCTCATGGCAGAAGCCTCAACGAGCTGCACATCTGAGCTGTTCACATAAGGGCACCCCTACCCAGAATTAGAACAAATACCCTTGCAATGGTCCTCAAAGCTCCAAACCTGACATCCAAGCAGTACCAGCAGCTGGCCACACAAGAATGGCATAATCTCTTACTTTGGTGACCTCACTGCTACAGAGCAAATATTTTACTGCTGTAGTTCAGGTGTTTCCTGACAGGGTATCCACACCAGGTTCAGAAAGGCTTATTCTTACCACTGAGACATCCCAAACAAGCCAGGATCCATCAACATTGTTCCCATACATACAGCAGGTAATGAAACACATCTGCACTGCATTCTAGCAATTGGTGCAGAAGCAACTGMTAAAATATATCAATGCAAATATTGTGTTTAGTTACATCTTGTAACACATCTGTTCAGCCCGGTCCAGTCAARTATTTTATGCACAGGACATGTGCAGAGTGGCTACCAAGCAAAATTCCAAAAGGATTTTGGAATGTTAATGTGAACAGTGATGTACATAAAGCCTGCACTTCATAGTACAGCCTCTGAGGACCTCTAACCCTGAAGTAGCACACCTGAGCTCATTCAYGGCAGTGCAAGAAGACCTTTATGAGAGCTATGGACAACAAAACTCCTCCACTGTATATGTTTGAGCCAGCAGTGGCAGAGAAGAAGAGCAAAGGGGGTTTCTCTCTCTTTCTGCCTAGCTATATCCTGCTGTGGACTGCCACAGCTATTTGCAGAATACAGATTCACCCTTTCAACAGGAAAGCCTTCAAACACCTGGTGCTAGACAAGTGTGAGCTTCTTCTCCTTTACTCCTACAAGCACTGCAGACACGGGCTGTCCTATACCCATGACAAGCACTCCCATTTTTCAGTGTTTTCTTTCACTTGCATGACATGATCAGGTGGGCAGTACAAACTGGCAGCAAGAGTGAACATATACAGTCATCAATGGTCAAACTGGTAACAAGTAATTTCTGTGTTGGATATTCAGTGAAGCTGGAGCTTTGGTTTATTCTTTTTTCACAGAGGTAAGGYTAAGGCTTCTGAAAATAGCTGTGTCCCTGAACAGCTTTGCCACCCAGTGTAAGAGCAGTGGGGTTAGCTGACCAAGAAATATCACCAATAAAAAGATAGCCCAGGTGGAACAAACATTTCAGGGACTCCACTTCTCAAAACTTACCTTTCAGACTCTTCTGAAATGAGAAGTCTYTAGCAGTTCCACAGGCAGAAATTACAAAAAACATTAGGGCTTCCATCATGTGCAAGAAACACATAGATGACCATAGATAATCACATTGCCTGTAACAGCTGCTGGTTTCAGTCAGGTGCTGAAGCCAGAAAGCCTTCTCAGGAAACTGACCTGAGGGTCTGCTGAAGATTGATAGGAGTCACTGCAGAGGAATGACTCCAGGACATTTTGCTGGAGATGGAAGTTTCCTTGCAGAACAGTAACGGGCTCTGTGCTGACAGCTGAAGGGCACTGAAAGCTTTTCTATCACTTCTGATCTATGTAATCCATTAGAACCCAACTTTTCCGATCATTAATATCTTGACTGACCTTACAAACTGYTCAAAACATATCTCCTCCAAAAAAAGAATGCAAAACCCCTTCAGTGTTATTGGAACCCATCCGATTAGGAAATGGCTGGTAAAGTAATGACCTAACTCTTAGTGAAGGAAAAATAAYAAGATACTGCCGCATAACCTCGATTCAAAGAAAGCAGAAAAAATATTCAAAATAATTCAATAATATCAGTAAAGTGTGCAAGAACAAATACTTAAAACAGTACAATATATCTGCACTCAGTGGATTTCCTCTGATTTATTCCATTGTCTAAATACCACTGTCATCTCTTTAACCAGACAGCAGTCTCATATTTCATTAGTGCTTTATGGAACAAATGGAACATTTGTCATAAATGCTCTAAACAATTGGAGATTGAATTGTACCTATTATTTGAATGTTTTTAAAACCTATTTTTCTTATTTTCTACTGCTCCAGCAAGGCTGATGACAGCAATCTTTTTTCCAGACACTGAATTTTTCACAGTCTGAATCAAAAACCATTATTTTCCACGTCAGTGTTTCTTATGTTGCCTGATTTCAAAAGACAAAACCCTTGCAACAGTATTAAAATGGTAAAATAAAAAGCAGTTCTTTATGGGAAGCTTCCAGGTACATCCACAGTTATGGGCTATGGGCATGTCTGTATTGGATTTCTACAATTTTGATAAGTTTAAGAAAGTATCATATCTGACAAACATTGTCCAATTAGAAGGGCAGTCGGTTGGGTCTTTTCCCCCTGGGTACTGCCCCATTGGAGCTGGTCCAGGGCTTCTTTGCCCTACTTCTTATTATGTCTTATCAGATTCTGACTGGAGAACAAGATGTTCTTCTTGTAGGTCCTCTACTTGAAAATAAGCCTAAACAGTATTTCRGGAATGTRTTAGAAGGTTAGTTTATTACTCTAAAATCTATGAGAAAGGGTAGGAAAAATACCAGGAGCTGTATAACCACATATTAATGGTCTACARAGCTACAAATACATGAAAAATACATTAAAAGTAAAAATCTTTAGGCATCACTTAGAACTTAATTGAGTTAATACAGGATCAGAAAGCATAGTGACACAGTAGTAAGTAATTAAATACTYGTTCCTTTCTGATTTGGATTCTTATAAAATCATGTAAACAAAAAAGCTCTGGATTTTTCTTACCTTAAATTGCAAACAATTCTGTGAACAACAATCAGTGAATGAAGAAATTGCAATTTAAGAAAAATGGAATGTGCTTCCTAAAATACTGTAATACTGCATTTTTCTCTAAGGCTTACCAAATTACCACTTTTTTCTCAAAAAAAAAAAAAAAAAAAAAAAAAAAAAAAAAGGTCTGTATAAGTTACATTTTCCAGATGTGGCAGACAATGGCTTGAAGATTAACACAAGATATGGCAGATGAAAAGCCAGCTTGTTGAGAAAAGCCATGCAGTCCTCCATTTCAATAAAAACTATTAACTTCATTTTGTGGTTTTGTGGTTAGTGCCACTACTCATACAGAGGCTGAAGTGTATGGATCCTGTGAGTGACTGCATATTGCCTGCCCAAACAAGAAGCCTATGAATTGYTGAGGTACATTTCACTTTAGTGGACTCACTGATAGGCTGGGAGACAGTAATATTTGAATTTTGACCCTGAGTTTCCTTTTGACCCAGAGTTTGCTCAGCAAATCACAACATCTTTAATTATYCAAAATGAGATAACTTTAGAACAAGCAATTCGCCTGTCTCTTCTTCAAATTCCTATTTTGAGAAACTTTTTCCAC